CTCTCTCTCTCTCTCTCTCTCTCTCTCTCTCTCTCTCTCTCTCTCTCTCTCCTCCCTTTCCTTCTCACAGGCCGTATTAAAGTGGTACCCTCTTACTCATTTCGTAGATAATCAATGCCAGCAATGCTTGTACCCACTGAACGTGTATTATTACACAGATGTAGCTCGATGTGTTATTACCATTTTGTACCCTCTATTACATACGCTACATTATTTTCCCAGTTATACTTCCTTCTGAGACTGGCAGTTTTTTAAATGATACCTTGCGTGATCCAATGTCTCACTCTCTCTCTCTCTCTCTCTCTCTCTCTCTCTCTCTGTCTGTGTGTGTGTGTGTGGGTGTGTATGTGTATGTGTGTGTGCATGTGTATCTTTTTGTAAGTTGTTTTTAGATGTAGGTGGTTTTATTCTGTGTAGATATCTATGCCTGCGTGAGTATAACATGTTTGAAAGTTGTGGTTTAGATGCAGGTATTTTTACTTCCCAATCGATACAATTAAAAATATAAAATATTTAGCTTATTATTAGGCCTGCCTACCCAAGTTGAAAGGGATACGACGACGGAGCAGAAAACCGAGATGCTCGATGAAAATTCAATCCTGCTGGGAGTCGAACTCCGGTCTTCTGCGTACAACGGCGAAGGGCTTAACCGCAATACCACAGACGCCAGTTTATGAGTGAATGAGTGAGTGGGTGAGTGTTAATGTGCGTGCATGCGTGTGTCTGTGTGTGTTTGTGTGTGTGTGTGTGTACGCGTGTGTGCGTGTGTTTGTGTCTGCGTGTCTGCTTCTGTATGTTACTGTGTGTGTTTGTCTGTTAGGGTGTGTCGATCCCCGAGTGTATCCCTATGCGTTCAAATGAAGGTGTTTAATTCAGTTGAGCGCAACACCACATCTTGGGTTTTTGGTTTGTCTTTTATTGAGTGTGATTTTTACGGTGTTTGAGTGTGTACTTGTGTGTGTAACACAAACGCACACAAAGACACACAGAACATGAAACCAACAGATACAGATACCTGCCCTGTTTATCCAGTCGACCTAGCCGCAAACAGATGACAGTCTCTTACGCAGAACAAAATGCCATAGGGATGGTTCAAATAAAATGGTAACTATAATACAAGTGCTACCAGCTGTCAGGTTTTGGATTTTTGCCGTTTAAATTTCATAAAGAGTATGCGCAAGAGAAGAATGGTTTTGTTTTTGTGGAAGTTTTTTAGGGTTTTTTTTGTCATGTTTATTTTTGTTGTTGTTGTCGTTTCGTTTTTTTATATCCCTCGTTCTGTCAGTTTCTGTGTAGATTCCTGGTTCTGTTATGATGACACACGTAATAAGCTGCATTTCTTTTTGTCCACTCTTTTACAAGGTTGGTAGGGTTGACTTTGTGATACCGTAACCGGTGCTGCGATGTTAACATGAACTTTCCGCACCCTACTACCCTCGACATACTCAAACTTCTCAGGGATCACGATGCTCTGTTGAAAATGTCACAGGCCTATGTGGGCGAGTTTGAAACAATGTATACAGAGCTTTATGGGGTTCATATTTTTAAATTGCTTTGCATGCACCCCGAGCTAAATAAATATAATATGCAACAGGGTACATAATATTTATTCTTCTTATGAAGAGATAAGATTTTAACTGTAGTCCGAATGCGATGGTAAGCCCCTGGCACTCGT